TTTTTTTTACAAAGTTGGCATTATTGGAACCACATTTGCTATGTAGATCTTAAACTAGCCAGACTATGTGACTACAACACATGGTATTAACTGTTTTATCATTGTCCATAAACATAGGAACACTTACATCTTTTGTAAGTGATCTGTTGGTCCATTTGTGCAAACTGGCATGTTTGCAACCACATTTGCTTACATAGATACAACTTCAGCCAAGTTATGTAACTTAGAAAAATCTGTAATCTAAAATCCATCGTTAAATGTCACTCCATCAGTTCACTCGCATGCCTGTCTTATATAATGTATGTGAAATGTCTGTTCAAAGCATGTTCTCCTCCAGGCAACTCTCACATAAATCAAGACTAGAAGGCACTGAGTTTGATCACTAACAGATTGAGATAATATTATACATATTTTCTCTGTTTCATGATTTATAATGACTGTGGTTTGCAGAATAACATTCTATATCATGTGATGTAGATGATGGAGAACATGGTACAGCTGTTTCTCTAGTTAAAGACACTTCATCAGCTGATTATAACAACTGGCCTCCAAAATGTGCCAACTGACTTATATAAGCTTACATAAGTTTCACCTGGTGACCACTGCTATCTCTCGCCCTTTCAACCGGCCACATTCCCCCGCATGAGCAAAGGGAGGCTTGTTAGCGCAGTATGCCATTGGCATACTGTCTGGAGCTGTGAATGTCTGCGTACCAGCCAGCTCCACTGCCCCGCGGATAGTTACTGTTGGAGGCTGACCAGTATGTCTGCTTTGGCTGAAGACATCCTGTCATTAGCCTCTTGCGCTGTGCCAAGGTAAAGTAGTTTGGGAAGTGGGCGCAGGCCAAGACTTAATGTTAGGGTGTCTTTGAGAGATAAGTGTGCAAGTATACACACTATTGCCCCATGGTCCCTCCGGGGCTGTTACTGCAAGAATGCGAATGTGGGGCTGGTTAAATTATTTATCATTTTGACACTTTATTTTGATTCTGTCTAGGGTTGAAGTGAGCATAAGCGAGGGAGCATGGCATGCTGTTTGAGCACTCTATCTGGTGTGCAAGTGTGAAGGCAGTTAATGGCCATGACCTGCTGTCTAAACACATTTAGCCAGGGTCCCATCGCCTGAAACTATCATTTATGCCTGATATGGTGTCCAACCATATGTCTCGCACCTCTTGGACATGTCAAACAGGTCCGATGTCTGCTTGGTTTTGTGGAAATGCACTTACTATCCTTCCCTGAACTGCTTTGAGAAAAGATATGCAGTAAACCAGACATTTGGACTTTCTGTAGGCTGTTTCCCTGTACTTCCTGCTGTGGCTTCAAATTTATAGGGCTCATTGTTCCACCGTGTGCATTTAGCAGCTCGCTGTGAGTTATTGGACACTTGCGGAGCCTCCCAGCTCTCCGCTCTAAACCTAAACTTTGTTTCCCCCTGTCATTGTGATGGGTGCTGATAACGTCTATGAAGCCTGCCCCAAACTACGGCTCCGAGTAATTCGTCAGTAATTAATTGCTGCTGACTTTGCAAATGAGCAATCCATTGCAAACACCTTTAAGCGGGCCTCAGCCTTTTGTGTATGTCCCACTGTAACTTTAATCCATAACTTGTTTGTGTAGTATTTCAGATCTGAAAGTTCATATCACCAGCCAGAACATTTGATACATGTTCCCTTGCTGCGTATGTTTAGCTAGGGTGACTGAGAAGTTTGTTTTAATTTCAGAATGTTTGGATCAGTGCTGCTCTAATAAACGCAAATGCTATTGTTTGACATCTGGCCGAGTCTCAAACTCCTCACGACCCGTTTGGAGATAAAAGCCTCCATGTCCGGTCTGCTTGGCGGTTTTCCATTTCAAATTCCAAAATCAGCATAAACGACATTCTCAACTTTATGTGGTGTGAAAACCTTGAGTTGGTGTTTGCACAGGAGAACTGGAGATGAACCTGAATACGGTTGTCCATCAGCAGGGCGATCATTTTATATTGTGTCCCATTTGGATGGAATTCGCAATCCTGAGAAATAAATATTTATGATTGTTTCTTGCTGAAGGAGTTGCTAGCGGCAATGAGCCAGGTCGTTTTTCAATCTCTGAGAGGAAGTTTGGCAATCTAAAGCTTGACTAGGCCTACATACTACAACGCTGAAAGAGATCATACCTTACTGTTTACATTTTGAAGCCACTGAGAATTTGCTGTACATTTGTGACAGGAAACCTGGACTAACTGGCCAATGTTTGGCATTGGGAGCAGTCATGTGGGTGAAAAACAGTCCTTAACATTTCCTTATCTTCTGCTTCTAGTGAACTGTAGGGTCTGGTTAACCAAACAAGGCCCTCGTACAAGCAAATCACGACTAGAGGAAGTCAAATACTTCTATGAATGCGTGAGGGCCTTTTTTACATCTTGTGGACTGCTGTGTTTTAAACCTGCGGTTGTTGATCAACTTATTGTTAGCGGTAAGTGACCTGTTGTTAAATGTCAAAAATAAAACATTGACACCTTGGTTAACTGCCGCTGTATAATGTCAAACATAAAATTAGATTTTGCAGTTTTATGACTTTGTACATTTACCATTGTTGGCAACGGTCTACTGCCTGGAATGAGACTTTGCCGCCTAAACAAGCAAGGGATGGCATGTTTTGCAGTCACCATTTTTTCCAAACAAGGTCACATCAAACACTACAAATACCTCTGAGATTCAGTCATGGGTAAGCAAGGTAAGCAGCCAGCTATTAACGCTTTCTCCTTTTGTTTTTAGAACATTCCAGGCTATATACCAAGCGTAGTTGAGTATTTTTAGTAATCATTTCAATAAGGGAAATTCCTGCATTTATTTGTTACCACTGATATTTGTATTAGAGGCTACTCTGCATTCATGTTCTCCACCAGAAATGTAATGCCATTAAGTGGAGAATATGAACATCTTCAAAATTTGAAAACTGAAGTCTTGATAAAACAGGTAGAGCCTCACTTTATACTCAGGGTCCCGCAACGAGGCTCTGGGAAGGTTCCTTGTATGTCAGGCCTTGTTAATGTACCGCTCAACAGTCAAAGCATGATGTACTACATCCATTTAACTGTTGGATCAAATCAGCACACATAACCAAGACTCCCTTTACTGGCCCTCTGAGCGGTCACTCTTCTCCTCAGATTACATTTCGCTACATGCTACCTAGCTGTCCGGTCTTCTCAAGAATGACGCAGACTGACTCACTTTAAGAATTTATGCTCTTCCTTGTTTATGATGCATGACAGGCATTGCCATTTTCTATGCGAGCCACAATTATTTCCGTTACGTGTCGTAATGATGCATATATGATGATAGTGCCACCTTTTGCATTTGGGTTCGTCTCTTAGGAACACAATGGTCACGGTGTGTGCACATGAATTAGCTAGCCGGTTGATTGTGACAATTGTGCATTCATCACTCTTTCTCATTGGTGTAGACGGTGCGTAGGTATGAACTCTATAAATAGCCCTTCCAGCTATTCCAGGCTTGTGTGTTTAGACTTGCTCTTTTTGTTTGCTTGAGAAATATCTCAGTGCTTTGTCAGCGTCGCAGTCACTTATTAACGTGCTCCAGCCACCACATAGAGAATGAACTATATGACCTGTTGCTCCCTCCGCTCTTATCAAGTATATTTGTCTGTGTTCAAGAGCGGTTGCTTCTTAGTTCAATATTTGAAGCCTTTAGTATCAGTGGGCAGAGTTCAAAAGAGGAACAAATAAGTTGTATAACCTCTACTGAGATAGGCCACCATGTGTTGGGGAAGCTTCCCAGGCAACTCATACTGTAATTAAATGAAAATTAGACTACGGTCAAGCTAGCCTTTTAACATGTTTTAACCAGACGTGACACGATAAACCAGTTAGCAATAAAAGGTATTTTAACAATCTTTTTTTTTTTTTTGTCATAACCGAGCACAACAGCAGATGAGTGACACTACATTTTGGTGGTTGCTTGGTTTCTTTTTCTGCAGCATTGCACTGGCTTGTCCTGCATAATCTGAAATATCATTGGATGAAGTACTGCTCCTAATGCATATTAATCATCAAATATAGATAGAGACTCGTTGTGGATAGAGACTAATTGTGCAATGTGAGTTCTGTATATCACCCACACACAAATTTCTTTTCATTGTGATTTATGGTTAATTGTGTCAGCATTTTCATGTGCAAACCTTTTCATGTTGGGCCTAGTTGGAATCTATATAGTGTGCTATATGGTGCACACACACAGGATATTTTAAATTGTAATAATATTTTATATTACAGTTTTTACTGTATTTGATCCAAAAACACAGCCTTGGTGTGCATAAAAAGCTTCTTTCAAAAACATTACGTTTTACCATGCTCAACTTTTTGATTGTTAGTGTACTTTTGTTGTTATATAAATATATTAGGGATGTCAACGATTAATCGATGATCGATTAATTGTCGATAAGAGATGCAATCGATTAAAGCTATCAATGGTCGATTAAGTCGTTTAATTTTGGGCTGCGTGCGGCTCATGCTCAAAACACGTGCGAGCGGCTGTGAGTGACGGTGACGGTATATAAATGCATCATCATTCATTCATAATGTACAAATTAAGCTTTTAATGTGATTTAAACTTAATTTTAATAACTTTAATAAAAGTACATTAAAATAGAAACAACACAAAGTTCTTCAACATGGAAAGCAATAGAAATGTAGTAACTAAGTCATTTCCCCAGATAATTCTTTCATATCGGGCTCTGCGCTTTGCAGGGCTGTGGGACACAGGACAGATAGGCTATTCATTCCTACAACTTGTTAATTCGTTCCTACGACTTATTAATTTGTGGCCACTGTCCATGTTTCATTAATTTTGTTCCTTAAATAACCCATGATTTAACTAAAATGAGGAAACAAATTAATAAATCGAACAAATTCTTAATTCATGGCCATGAAATCTTTCATTTCCCTTAGATGCGAAAACAGTGATAAAAAGTGAAGACAATAAAATAAACCTGCGAAATTAGAGGGCTAGACGGTGAGGATTTAGGAAAAGAAACAATGCCTAAATATGATTGAATTTGTGTAAATTCGTGACCAACCGGCAAACCAGAACAAAGCCGCGTGAATGTAGGCTATATGAGCTCGAACGGCATCCAAAAGCATGGTCGCGATGTAACATTTTCCAGCTAACCAATTATTCCTCTAATAAACAAAGCTTTTATACCACACTTGTCATAATCAGAGCTTATAATTTGTAAATAAATAATTACTGGATTCAAAACAGCAATTAAAAGGCGCTGTGACCGACACTGACTATACGTTTTCCCGGAGCATTCAATGATGTCACTAAACGGTGATGCCACAACTAAGAGCATCGTTCACAAGTTTCTGCATGGACCTAACTAGCCTAGGCACAGGTTTTCAAGCCCTGGGACAAAATGGGATGCTTTAAGGAAAACGTATAGCCTACGTAAGTAATAGGCCTAAATAAAAATAATTTGTTTTCATTAAAAAAAAAAAAAAAAGCGAAATATATCTGACTTAAATAATTAAGCTAACAGATTTAAAACAGAAGTGTGGCGCGGCGCTCCATAAACAAGTTCACGGAAACGAAAGCATGACAGCGCGCATTCTGTTTGTTTGCTTTATTGTGCAAAAGCACAAATCTTGTTTTTATTGTGAGTGTGCAAAAATAAAAGTAAACACCTTTGCGGATTATATCCTACTCCAAAAATTGTGTT